ACATCCTTCTTGGCACCTCTCGGGGTTATGGTTCATTATCAACCTGGTGCCAAAACCTCCTCTCTGATGCACGGAGAGGTGTATGCTTAGTCAGTGTGGGAGGGTTTACTGACACACACATCCATTTCCCCGTTCTTGTTTTCTCTAGCTACTATACACTCCCACTCAAACAAACATATACAAATACATACCCTTATGCTCACTGATTATTCTATGTACCCTCTCAGTCAAGTACTCATACCAACACAATATCTCAGGAATGTTCTCCTTTTCTTTCAAATTTTGTCATTTTCCTCAAACTTTTAAGTTAGCTAACAAAGTAGGGTAGAAATAGTGCTCTTGCTGGCAGGTACACTGGCACACTTGGAGCGCTCCACCACCTGCAAAGTACAGATGGCATGACCCGCCCCCACTGACACCTGCTGTGGATCACACTAAATGGCCAGGGATAGAGGGGGGTGAGAAAGTAACAAAGCACAGAGTGAAAGTGCTGTCTCATCATATCACGCACATTACCACTGCCAGATGGCTACCCTTCTGGAGAGGACAACACCTTAATCATTAATAACACGGAGCTCACGCTAATACAAACACAATGAGACATTACTAAGCATAGTCAAAGAAGTGGCTTAGTCGGTGATATGGCTCATGATGTCTTACTATAGTAATTAAATATTGAATCTGAATCATATTTAGCTTATCATGTAAACAGTGTAGAATTCCCTGGTCTTTTGGAGTACCTTTTGGGAGGGAGAGATGAGCCATTTATCATCACCATTAGCACTCAACTGAGTGAGATTTAGGGACTTGTGTGTGAGAGGGAGCAGGGCCGAGGCAGGGGGGCGGGGTGATTGCACAAGCCCCCTGCGGTGCTTCAAACCCTGGCCACACACACACTATGTATACCGGTAACCAGGGAGAACTCTGGCCCAGTCCTGGAATGTGGCCTACTGTCTGGCCAAAAGAGCTGTTAAACAACACCCTGGCTTTGTCTCTCTTTCACTGTGTCCCAAACAAACAACACACCGGCACACTCTCTGTCTATCACACAAACACATATACACACACACACTCACTGGCTCACTCATGGGTTGCTTCATTTACATTTTTACATTTTAGTCATTTAGCAGATGCTCTTATCCAGAGCGACTTACGACCAGTGAGTGCATACATATACAGTGAGGGAAAAAATTATTTGATCCCCTGCTGATTTTGTACGTTTGCCCACTGACAAATAAATGGTCAGTCTATAATTTTAATGGTAGGTTTATTTGAACAGTGAGAGACAGAATAACAACAACAAAATCCAGAAAAACAAATGTAAAAAAAATTATAAATTGATTTGCATTTTAATGAGGGAAATAAGTATTTGACCCCCTCTCAATCAGAAAGATTTCTGGCTCCCAGGTGTCTTTTATACAGGTAACGAGCTGAGATTAGGAGCACACTCTTAAAGGGAGTGCTCCTAATCTCAGCTTGTTACCTGTATAAAAGACACCTGTCCAAAGAAGCAATCAATCAATCAGATTCCAAACTTTCCACCATGGCCAAGACCAAAGAGCTCTCCAAGGATGTCAGGGACAAGATTGTTGACCTACACAAGGCTGGAATAGGCTACAAGACCATCGCCAAGCAGCTTGGTGAGAAGGTGACAACAGTTGGTGCGATTATTCACAAATGGAAGAAACACAAAATAACTGTCAATCTCCCTCGGTCTGGGGCTCCATGCAAGATCTCACCTCGTGGAGTTGCAATGATCATGAGAACGGTGAGGAATCAGCCCAGAACTACACGGGAGGATCTTGTCAATGATCTCAAGGCAGCTGGGACCATAGTCACCAAGAAAACAATTGGTAACACACTATACCGTGAAGGACTGAAATCCTGCAGCGCCCGCAATGTCCCCCTGCTCAAGAAATCACATATACAGGGCCGTCTGAAGTTTGCCAATGAACATCTGAATGATTCAGAGGAGAATCATTCAGAATCAATCGAGCTCTTTGGCATCAACTCAACTCGCCGTGTTTGGAGGACGAGGAATGCTGCCTATGACCCCAAGAACACCATCCCCACCGTCAAACATGGAGGTGGAATCATTACGCTTTGGGGGTGTTTTTCTGCTAAGGGGACAGGACAACTTCACCACATCAAAGGGACGATGGACGGGGCCATATACCATCAAATCTTGGGTGAGAACCTCCTTCCCTCAGCCAGGGCATTGAAAATGGGTCGTGGATGGGTATTCCAGCATGACAATGACCCAAAACACACGGCCAAGGCAACAAAGGAGTGGCTCAAGAAGAAGCACATTAAGGTCCTGGAGTGGCCTAGCCAGTCTCCAGACCTTAATTCCATAGAAAATCTGTGAAGGGAGCTGAAGGTTCGAGTTGCCAAAAGTCAGCCTCAAAACCTTAATGACTTGGAGAAGATCTGCAAAGAGGAGTGGAACAAAATCCCTCCTGAGATGTGTGCAAACCTGGTGGCCAACTACAAGAAACATCTGACCTCTGTGATTGCCAACAAGGGTTTTGCCACCAAGTACTAAGTCATGTTTTGCAGAGGGGTCAAATACTTATTTCCCTCATTAAAATGCAAATCAATTTATAGCATTTTTGACATGTGTTTTTCTGGATTTTGTTGTTGTTATTCTGTCTCTCACTGTTCAAATAAACCTACCATTAAAATTATAGACTGATCATGTCTTTTTCAGTGGGCAAATGTACAAAATCAGCAGGGGATCAAACACTTTTTTCCCTCACTGTCCTGTACTGGCATCCCGAGGGAATCGAACCCACAACCCTGGCGTTGCAAGCGCCATGCTCTACCAACTGAGCTACACAGGGCCATGCACTCGCAGTCACACAACAGGATGTCCTGTTTCTTCTAATGCTTGCTCTTTCACACCCACACTCTGTTCTCAGTTATATGGTTACCACCTTAAATGAAATTTTTGGCAAAAAGGCAAACTCCCCTCCATCATTCATTGAATCAGGTGGCTCATTCATCACAAAACCCACTGATATTGCCAACTACTTTAATGATTTTTTCATTGGCAAGATTAGCAAATTTAGGCATGAAATGCCAGCAACAAACGCCGACACTACACATCCAAGTATAACTGACCAAATTATGAAAGACAAGCATTGTAATTTAGAATTCTGAAAAGTGAGTGTGGAAGAGGTGAACAAATATTATTTTCTATCAACAAAGACAAGCCACCTGGGTCTGACAACTTGAATGGAAAATTACTGAAGATAATAGCGGACGATATTGCCACTCCTATTTGCCATATCTTTTTTTTTTTTTTTTTTTTTTTATATCTTCAATCTAAGCCTACAACAAAGTGTGTGCGCTCAGGCCTGGAGTGAAGCAAAAGTCATTCCGCTACCCAAGAATAATAAAGCCCCCTTTACTGGCTCAAATAGCCAACCAATCAGCCTGTTACCAACCCTTAGTAAACTTTTGGGAAAAAATGATGTTTAACCAGATACAATACTATTTTACAGTAAACAAATTGACAACAGAATTTCAGCATGCTTATAGGGAAGGACATTCAACATGCATGGCACTTACACAAATGACTGATGATTGGCTGAGAGAAATTGATGATAAAAAGATTGTGGGAGCTGTTTTGTTAGACTTCAGTGCGGCTTTTGACATTATCGATCATAGTCTGCTGCTGGAAAAACGTGTGTTATGGCATTACACCCCCTACGATATTGTGGATAAAGAGTTACCTGTCTAACAGAACACAGAGGATGTTCTTTAATGGAAGCCTCTCCAACATAATCCAGGTAGAACCAGGAATTCCCCAGTGCAGCTGTCTAGGACCCTTACTTTTTTCAATCTTTACTAATGACATGCCACTGGCTTTAAGTAAAGCCAGTGTGTCTATGTATGCGGATGACTCAACACTATACACATCAGCTACTACAGCGAGTGAAATTACTGCAACACTTAACAAAGAGCTGCAGTCAGTTTCAGAATGGGTGGCAAGAAATAAGTTAGTCCTAAATATTTCAAAAACTAAAAGCATTGTATTTGGGACAAATCATTCACTAAACTCTAAACCTCAATTAAATATTGTATGCAACACTAGCTAAGATGGGGATAAGTCTGTCAATAATAAAGAGCTGCTCAGCCTTCTTAACAACACTATCAAGGTCCTACAGGCCCTAGTTTTGTCGCACTTGGACTACTGTCCAGTTGTCTGTTCAGGTGCCACAAAGAGGGACTTAGGACAATTACAATTGGCTCAGAACAGGGCAGCAAGGCTGGCCCTTAAATGTACACGGAGAGCTAACATATCAATATCTCATGGCTCAAAGTAGAGGAGAGATTGACTTCATCACTACTTGTTCTTGTAAGAAGTATTGACACGCTGAATGCACCAAGCTGTTTTTTTTAACTACTAAAACACAGCTCGGACACAATGCATACCCCACAAGACATGCCACCAGAGGTCTCTTCACAATCCCAAAGTCCAGAGCAGACTATGGGAGGCGCACAGTACTACATAGAGCCATGGCTACATGAAACTCTATTCCACAGCAGGTAACTGATGCAAGCAGTAGAATCAGATTTTAAAAAACAGATAAGAATATACCTTATGGATCAGCGGGGACTGTGAATAGACACACACTCAGGCACAGACACACGCATACACATACACATGATAAAACACGCACTTTATACACACGTACACATGGATTTTTTTTTATTGTAGATATGTGGTAGTAGAGTAGTGGCCGAGGGCACACACTTAATGTGTTGTGAAAGTCATGATGAAATGTAATGTCATGTAATATTTTTAATTGTATATAACTGCCTTAATGTTGCCAGACCCCAGGAAGAGTAGCTGCTGCCTTGGCAGGAACTAATGGGGATCCTTAATAAATACAAATTCAAAACTCACAAATGTAGAAGCACAATACATACATTTAAGAAGAGATCCTGAACAAAGGTATGATGTTCATACAGACTCACTCTTATATCTGCCGATGTCTTTCTCCTCAGGTAAAGTGACAGCCTTTTCTGATCTAGATGAAGAGATTGACTTCCTTCACTCAGTCATTGCCAAGCAGGAAGTGTCAGAGGTCAAACAATCAAAACAATCAGGTGAGCCTTATGTTCCATATGCATTTTTATGCATTTTATTACATGTTTTTGTTAGTTTTCTATAGATGTGTGTCGCTATATATAAAACGTTATCTATACCACAATAATAACAATGTCTCTGTCTTTCTCTTTCGCTCTCTTACTCTCTCTCTCTCTCCCAGACACCCCCTCCAAGGCAGTTCCTATGACTCAGACAAAGTCTCCCAGACAGAGAGGCCAGGCCCAACCCTCGGAGGAGCAGCCCACCACCGCCCACCCCTCTACCCGGACCCCGCAGCCTGCCACTGGGGCTCTGGAGAGGGTGGGACCGGGAGGACCTGGAGGCCCCATAGCCATCCCATACCCCTCCAAGGACAGTCTCCTTGTCAGTAAGTGTCTTTATTAGTTGAAAGTAGGGACACGTTTATGGCGTGAGAGCAGCATGGAGCACCCAGGCCAGCTCTACTAAGCCGGTTTAGGATGACACAAATATACAAAGCTATTTATAAGGGAATAGGTTTGTAAGTGGTTCGATTTCATCTGCAGTCACACACAATTTCATAATTTCTCCTCCTTTTATGTGTATCTTGTCTTCAATCTATCCTCTTCTCTGTTTATGTCCATCTCTGCAGTTATGATCTCTGTGTGTCTCATCGTTGGCACTGTGGCCCTGATCTTGGCTACAGTTTGCTGGGTCAGGTAAGACTTCAGACAGTAACAATATCATTATGTTATTATTTAATTTGACAACTAAGATGTGCTAGACTCCTTTCTATTGTTTTACTGTCAAGTGTTGTTTTTGTTAGAGCATGTTGAATAATTTCCCAACACATTTTATGAAGGATAGATTTAAGCACTGCACTGTTATTTGCATCCCAAATGGCACCCTACTGCCTATGGTGCACTTTTGACCAGGACCCATATAGCTTTGGTCATTTGGTAGTGCACTATATAGGGGATAGGGTGCCATTGGGACGCATCAAGGATGAAGTGAAGTGCACTGCACTGTTAGGATGCATCCCAAATGGCACCCTACTCCCTATAGTGCACTACTTTTGACCAGGGACCATAAGGCTCTGGTCAAATGAAGTGCACTATATAGGGAATATCGTGCTATTGGGAAGTATCCTTAGTCCATAATGCAGATGTTTTTTTATATATTTTGCCTGCTGTTCCTTCTCCAGTCTCTCTGGTCTCCCGAGTGGCGCAGTGGTCTAAGGCACTGCATCGCAGTGCTAGCTGTGCCACTAGAGATCCTGGTTCGAATCCAGGCTCTGCTGTAGCCGGCCGCAACCGGGAGACCAATGGGGCGGCGCACAATTGGCCCAGCGTTGTCCAGGGTAGGGGAGGGAATGGCAGGCAGGGAGGTAGCTCAGTTGATAGAGCATGGCGTTTGCAACGCCAGGGTTGTGGGTTCGTTTCCCACGGGGGGCCAGTATGAAAATAATAATGTATGCACTAACTGTAAGTCGCTCTGGATAAGAGCGTCAGCTAAATGACGTAAATGTAAATGTAAATGTCTCTAATGGCTCAGAATAATGTTGCCCCCTACAGGTTACAGAAGGAATCACATCTGGCCCAGAAGATAGATTACCCTGCATTTGGAAGCAATGGAAATGGAACAGCCAACAGGACTTCAGTAAGTACATTGTCCCGCATGGGGCACCGTACATCCACCTCATCTAAATACATTAGGAGTCTATTTCCTATTACCCATACCCAGATTAGACCCTTTTCTCTTTGGTCCTCTATTGTTTCCACAAGCAAGGGGGGAGGCCGATGACATGAAAGCAAACCCATCAGACCAACTCCTTGAATGGCCAACTCTTGAAGTTTGTAATTGTGTCCAAAAAACACAATTTTGCTCAAAACATATTTGTGTACCCATAAGTGTGTGTACATTACTGTATTTATACTTGGGATATTGTTTTTCAACAGGGAAAGTTCAAAGATAGCTGAAGTCCTGGACTAGGAAGCACTTTGAATATAAAATCCCTATATTGAACATGCATTTTAGACCAGGATTAGCCTTCACCTATGTCCGGGAAACCAGCCCTATATGTGTGTAAATAAGGGACTAGGCTATTTTTTGTATGATTTATTTCCTTCTGTCAATGTGATTTTACCACAGGATGTCTGTGACGTAAGCGTCCTGTTTTCAGGCTTTGCCTCTGCTCTGCTTTTCCGCCCCACTGAGGGTGGTTTTCATGGCTCTCCTTCTCTCCTTTTCCCTTTTCTCCTCAGTCGGGGGATAAGAAGTTGGCCCAGAGTGCTCAGATGTACCACTACCAGCATCAGAAACAGCAGATGCTCTCCATGGAAAAGTGAGCTCTACCTGTCCGACAATTCAGTTCCACTCAAATATGAATACACACACATATTCATCCTGGTGAAGGTATAATGGCGCTGGAGGAGATGGCTGCCGTTTTACGGGCTCCAATCGTGCTATTGTGTGTGTGTTTTTTTGCGTTATTTGTAACTTATTTTGTACATAATGTTTCTGCCACTGTCTCTTTTGACCGAAAATAGCTTCTGGATATCAGGACAGTGATTACTCACCTCGTCCTGGACAAAGATTTTTTATTTAATGAGTCGGACGCGAAGGATTTACTTCAGACACCCGACAAGGCCCAAATCCCTGTCATTCGCAGGAGAAAGAGACGGAGATATCAGGGACGTAGGTCGGGGTGCCTTGTAAGGATCCAACGGCGAGTGGGTAATCTGCCTCTACCGTCTGTCCTATTAGCCAACGTACAATCATTGGATAACAAAATAGATGAGCTACGATCACAAATATCCTACCAACTTATGTTTCACCGAGTCGTGGTTGAACAATGACATGGATAATATACAGCTGGCAGGGTTTACGCTGCATTGGCAAGATAGAACAGCTGCCTCCAGTAAGACAAGGGCTGGCAGTCTGTGTATATTTGTAAACAACAGCTGGTGCACGAAATCTAATATTAAGGAAGTCTCAAGGTTTTGCTCGTCTGAGGTAGAGTATCTCATAGTAAGCTGTAGACCACACTGTTTACCAAGAGCGTTTTCATCTATATTTTTCGTAGCTGTCTATTTACCACCACAAACTGATGCTGGCACTAAGACCGCACTCAATGAGCTGTATAAGGCCATAAGCAATCTGACCATAATTATATCCCCCTGATTCCTGCTTACAAGCAAAAACTAAAGCAGGAAGCACCAGTGACTCGGTCAATAAAGAAGTGGTCAGATGATGCAGATGCTAAGCTACAGGACTGTTTTGCTAGCACAGACTGGAATATGTTCTGGGATTCTTCTGATGGCATTGAGGAGTACACCACATCAGTCACTGTCTTCATCAATAAGTGCATCGATGATGTCGTCCCCACAGTGACCGTACGTACATACCCCAACCAGAAGCCATGGATTACAGGCAACATCCGCACTGAGCTAAAGGGTAGAGCTGCCACTTTCAAGGAGCGGGACTCTAACCAGAACACTTATAAGAAATCCCACTATGCCCTCTGACGAACCATCAAACAGGCACAGCGTCAATACATGACTAAGATTGAATCGTACTACACCTGCTCCGACGCTCGTCGGATGTGGCAGGGCTTGCAAACTATTACAGACTACAAAGGGAAGCACAACCGCGAGCTTCCCAGTGACACGAGCCTACCAGACGAGCTAAATTACGTCTATGCTCGCTTCGAGGCAAGCAACACTGAAGCATGCATGAGAGCATCAGCTGTTCCGGACGACTGTGTGATCACGCTCTCCGTAGCCGATGTGAGTAAGACCTTTTAAACAGGTCAACATTCACAAGGCCACAGAGCCAGACGGATTACCAGCACGTGTACTCCGAGCATGCGCTGACCAACTTGTAAGTGTCTTCACTGACATTTTCAACCTGTCCCTGACTGAGTCTGTAATACCAACGTGTTTCAAGCAGACCACCATAGTCCCTGTGCCCAAGAACACTAAGGTAACCTGCCTAAATGACTCCGTAGCACTCATGTCTGTAACCATGAAGTGATTTGAAAGACTGGTCATGGCTCACATCAACACCATTATCCCAGAAACCCTAGACCCACTCCAATTTGCATACCGCCCCAACAGATCCACAGATGATGCAATCTCTATTGCACTCCATACTGCCCTTTCCCACCTGGACAAAAGGAACACCTTTGTGAGAATGCTATTCATTGACTGCAGCTCAGCATTCAATACCATAGTGCCCTCTAAGCTCATCACTAAGCTAAGGACCCTGGGACTAAACACCTCCCTCTGCAACTGGATCCTGGACTTCCTGACGGGCCGCCCCCAGGTGGTAAGGGTAGGTAACAACACATCTGCCACGTTGATCCTCAACACGGGGGCCCCTCAGGGGTGCGTGCTCAGTCCCTTCCTGTACTCCCTGTTCACCCATGACTGCATGGCCAGGCACGACTCCAACACCATCATTAAGTTTGCCAACGACACAAAAGTGGTAGGCCTGATCGCAGACAACGATAAGACAGCCTATAGGGAGGAGGTCAGAGACCTGGCTTTGTGGTGCCAGGGTAACAACCTCTCCCTCAACTTGATCAAGACAAAGGAGATGATTGTGTACTACAGGAAAAGGAGGACCGAACACGCCCCCATTCTCATTATACAGCTGCACCATCGAGAGCATCCTGACTGGTTGCATCACTGCCTGGTATGGCAACTGCTTGGCCTCCGACCGTAAGGCACTACAGAGGGAAGTGCGTACGGCCCAGTACATCACTGGGGCCAAGCTTCCTGCCATCCAGGACCTCTATACCAGGCAGTGTCAGAGGAAGGCCTGAAAAATTGTCTAAGACGCCAGCCACCCTAGTCATAGACTGTTCTCTCTGCTACCGCACGCAAGCAGTACCGGAGCGCCAAGTCTAGGTTCAAAAGGCTTCTTAACAGCTTCTAACACCAAGCCATAAGACTCCTGAACAGCTAATCAAATGGCTACCCTGACTATTTGCATTGTCCCCCACCCACCCCCTCTTTTAAGCTGCTGCCACTCTCTGTTTATTATCTATGCATAGTCACTTTAACTCTACCTACATGTACATATTACCTCAATTACCTCAACTAACCTGTGCCCCCGCACATTGACTCTGTACCGGTACTCCCAGTATATAGCTTCCCTACTGTTATTTTACTGTTGCTTTTTAATTATTTGTTATTTATTTTTATTTTTTATTTTTTACTTATCAATTTTTTACTTAACACTTATTTTTCTTAAAACTACATTGTTGGTTAAGAGCTTGTAAGTAAGCATTTCACTGTAAGGTCTACACTTGTTGTATTTGGCGCGTGTGACAAATAAAATTTGATTTGATTTGATTCTGTCGTTTTTCAGACATAAATCGGAGCCGAAAGTCACTGACTCAGAAGTCACATCAGATGAGGAAGAAGTGGGCGGAGACTTCACTGTGTACGAGTGCCCTGGCCTTGCACCGGTGGGTGTGCTAGGACACATGCACACACACACACACACACACACGTACTTGCACTCAGACATGCACACACGCACTCAGGCACATACGCACAAACACATAATATATTCACACAAATTCTGTCCTTGTTTCTCACACAATATTCATATTGATGATGACTGTGTTTGTTTGGCTTTTAACAACAGTTTTTATTTCATTGCAGACTGGAGAGATGGAAGTGAAAAATCCTTTGTTTGACGACTCTACCCTATACTACCAAGAGAATCCCAAGGGAAATCCATAGACTTTAATGCATGCTGGCACACGCAGACACCACACAAACACACACACACAGAAACATACACCCAATTAAAACATAATACTAACCTACACACACACAGAATACACACACACACATGCCATTTCTTGTACTCTGGAAAAGACCACCTTAACTCTCCAATCAGGTTGCTATCTCAAAACTGGACAGGCTTATACAGATGTCGGATCTTAATTTGACCCATTTCGTTGCAGAAGGAAAATTATCTGCAGCAGGAGGATTTGAATGTCTATTCAATATTGAGAATCGATGCCAGGGGGCAGCTGGAAGCTGTGTTTGTAGGCTATACAATCATTTAGACTGCAGGTCCACTGATTATTTGTTGTATTATATGTTCAAGGCAAACAATGAGCAAAATAAATTGGTGGTTATCGCAGTGCCTGTGTGGTCCAGTGGGTACAGCCGCTGACAATGGTAAACATATGCAAGAGTAGGCATGGGTTTGAATCTGGTCCACAAATGTCCTTTGAATTTTTGGAGAAACTAGTACATTTCTAGTTACTCTCTGTGGGCTTAATTGTACTCTTACTCAAGTAATTTCTGAAGGAAGTAAATTACTTTTTACTCCATTACATTTGACCAAATCACTTTAGTTACATAGATTTATATTATTATATCGTCGCTGTCAGATGAAAACCTCCTAACCAAATGTTGTGATGTTTTATTATTTTTTACATGAATCGATACTATACATCTGTATGAACGTTTCACAACCCCTTGACCAATGAAATGTATTCAAAATAGCATGTAATCAAAACTCTAAGTCCATTGGCTCTCAAAGTTGTCCATCAAACCCAGTTTTATCTCCACCACGGCTCTTGAAGTGAAGCGCTCGTCTTCATATTTTTGTTCTTGGGTTCTTAGCCAGACGCGATCAGAGGTAAGTTGCACATTTATTACCTTCTGCCTTTGTAATATTATATATTTCTGGAGAAAGATAAGTATTTATAATATATTATTCTGCTGTTGAAATTGTGTTTTGAGGACAAATGCAAATCAAATGGCTAGGTAGCTAGCTAGCTAGCTTTGGCTAACCCAGAAAATGACAGAAAATATTGAATCTCCTGTTTTTAGCTCCCAATATGACCTCTGTTTGTTGGCCAACTAGTACCTTCTCTTGGCATACAGAGTAAATAGATTAATCAGATGTGTGTGGCAATATCTAACTATACTGAACAAAAATATAAACGCAACAATTTCAACGATTTTACTGAGTTACAGTTCATATAAGGAAATCAGTAAATTGAAATAGATTCATTAGGCCCTAATCTATGGATTTCACATGACGGCAGGGGCGCAGCCATTGGTAGGCCTGGGAGGGCATAGGCCCACCCACTGAGGAGCCAGGCCCAGCCAATCAGAGTTTTTCCCTACAAAAGTGCTTTATTACAGACATAAATATTCCTCAGTTTCATCAGCTGTCCGGGTGGCTGGTCTCAGACGATCCTGCAGGTAAAGAAGCCAGATGTGGAGGTCCTGGGCTGGCGGGGTTACACACGGTCTGCGGGTGTGAGGCCGGTTGGACTTACTGCCAAATTCTCTAAAACAACGTTGAACAT